ATAATATATATATATATATATATATATTTACAATGTTTGTTTTGTTTTTAAAATCTGCACAAATAATTGTGTCACAAATTCCTAAACATAATCAAATAAATGTAGAGTGAAAGCAGTGAAAAAAAACAACAACGAAATCCATTTTTAAAGAAACAAATGTTCAGTGTAAAATAGTGATTTTACATAAGATTCAACCAACACACAGGATATATACACATATACCGACTAAAACACTATATAGACATTCTTGTGCAATAACAATGCACATAAAAGAATGTCACGTACATAAAGAATGACAGAGAAAACTAATAACGACAACAAAATCAGAAACAACTATAGAATCAGTTTTCTTTCCCGTGTTTTTCCGACTTCGGTCTTCATTAGATATGGACTCACACACGTCAACATATACACACACATGTCTACATGACTAGTATGTGATGAGCTTTTGTAGAGAGATAAGATTAATAACTTAAATTAAACCCAACAAATATTGTCTGGTAGAAGAATAAATCATGTTGGATTTGCGTAAAAGAATGAAATTAGAAATAATGGAAGAGTAGTCTGACAACACGACAAATCTCATTAAATACGAACATAAAAATGACTAAAGTAGAAAACGTTATTAGATGGACATCACTGCATTGTTAAGAAATTGGGGATGTTGGTTAAAATCTACTACTCAAGTAATGTAGTCTAGTCAATACGGCTACTGTCATGACTACACAATAATTTATTTTAAATGTTAAGTTATCTAAATCGACAGGCGGTCATTTTGAATTTGAGTTAAGTGTCGCTGATGGAAAACAGCTAACAGTAATGTCTTTTAAAGTTATTTGTATAGCTAAGTTTTATAGGATAAAATATACGGCTTACCAGCCATTCAAAACCAACATAGGATCTAACAAATATCAGTATTGCTTCAAGTCATTAGACTTTTTGTCAGGACGTCGATTAGAAACTGTCAAGAACTTAACAAATGAACAATAACTGACAGATATTCTATACCACACACCCACGATTGACCTAGTTGGAGCATATTACCACATACATGTCGCGCCAAAAGACATACCGAAAACAGCAGCAATGACCCCATTCGGGTTATATTAATTTCTGCACATGCCTTTCGGACTGACTAATGCAGCGCAAACCTTACAGCGATTTAGTGACCAAGCCATCAGATGTATACCAGGAGTATATGCGCAAATCGACGACTTACCAGTAGCCAGCGATACGATAGACGAGCATCTACAGCATCTACAGCAACTACGACAACTATTCATGAGACTATGAGAACATGATATCTCTATAAACGTTGAGAAGTGTGAATTTGGAAAGCGACCCTTACAGTTCCTAGGTCATATGGTAACTTCCCAAGGTATTACGCCAGTCCCAGTGGAAGTCGATGCTATCAGATACAACACGTTATCTGAATCACGGAAGACGTTTCGACGATTTCTCAGGCTAATAAATTATTATAAGCGATTTATCCTGAATTGTGAGGCAATACTACAGCCATTGATGAGTACGTTGCGTGGACATGGCCGGACGTACCATCTGTTATCAGAGGCGATACAGGCATTCGAGAACGCCAAGAAAGCACTTTACAAAAGACGATGCTAGCTAGAAGGAGTGAAATGCCACTAGCTATCATGACTGAAGCATCGAATGCATCGAAATGAGCCGTTTTACAACAGTTATTTAATAGCACAAGGAAACCGCTTTCATTTATCTCAAAGAGATTGAATCCTAAACAAACTGGGTATAGTACATTTGGAAGATAATTACTAGCAATTTACTTGGCAAAAAGCGTTTCCAACATATGGCGGAATGTACAAATTTTACTGTGAACACGGATCATAAACCGTTCACAAAAGCATTAAGCGTCAAGCAAGATAATTAATCTGCGAGAGAAATCCGACATTTATAATTTATTTCTCGGACAACGCAGAATATACGATATATTAAAAGCCAATTCAACGAGGTAATAGATGAACTATCAAGAATAACGATAAACGCGCATATTCCAAATGGAATTGATTATCGAGGTCTGGCAAAGTTGCAGAAGAACGACATTGAATTAAGAAATCTAAGATCCGAAGACACGACTTCATTAGTATTCCAAGACGCTCACCTCAGTAGCGTAAAAGTAATATGTCGACGGGCCGATCGCGAACGTTCATATCGAAACAATTGCGACAGAACGTATTCGAAAGGACGCAGTCAGTCAGTCAGTAAAGACGTAGAACTTCGTACGTACGTACATCAGTTCGAGTTGCCACACCACATTAGCACAGAGATGCAGTGGTCGATTCAAATCCCGTAGTGGTAGAGGTAACAAGAGTATAAGCAGTAATCGGGAAGATTAGGGTTTGGAGATGTTATTTAAAGAGTATAATACAGTGAAATAAATTTGGAAAGAGGAAAAAAGGGACATGAAGAATTCAGAAGATTAGAATTTGGGAGAACACAGAGAGTGGATGCACCTGCGCCATTGCAAACGATTTTGAGCCATGTCATTCAGGGTCTCTAACCATCGGTTGCTGTCATCACGCGGTCCCCAACCAGGTAGTCTACACCTACCAACATGACTCAGTTCACTTGTCAATGACTTCATGGACTTGTGCCATGTTTTGGTTTGGCCGCCCCTAGCTTTCTTCCAACCTACTCCTATACCACTGAACATAGCACGTCGAGGCAGTCGGTCGTTGGGCGTACGTAACACGTGTCCCAGCCATCTCAACTGACGAAGTTTCACTACTTCATCAATTGATTTGCCATCTTTACCTAGTACCCGTTTCCTAACAACTGCGTTACTTACTCGATGGTCCCAGGATATACGAGCAATGTTTCGAAGACACCTATGATCGAATACTAGTAACCTACGGATATCCTCTACTCTTACCGGCCATGTTTCACTGCCATAAAGTAGGACGGAACGAACTGCTGCGCAGTAAACCCGTCCTTTGGTTGATAGACGGATATCTCGCCTACGCCATAAATGACGTAAGTTGGCAAAAGCTAGTCGAGCCTTCTGTATCCGTGCTGAGATTTCGTCACACACCAGACCACAAGGGCTGATGAGACTTCCAAGATAAGTGAAGCGGTCGACACACTCAACTACTTCACTCCCTATCACTAGTTCGGGTGTCGATGTAACCCAATCCTGAAGCAACATTTTGCATTTCGAGGGAGAGAATCGCATCCCGAACATGCTTGCATTGTTGCTTAGAGTGGTCAGAAGACTCTGCATTGTGTCAGCGTTTTCACCAAATAAAACTATGTCATCAGCATATTCTAAGTCAGCAAGTGAACCTCCCGGTAGAAGTTCAACCCTTGGAAATCTAGACGAGGAAAGTGTTATCTCTAAAAGTACGTCGACCACAAAGTTGAACAGGAATGGAGAGAGTGAGCAGCCCTGACGAACACCACTTGAGGTAATCAATTCTGATGACAGTTCGCCATAAGTTCTCACTCGACCAGTTGTGTTCGAGTAGAGAGCCTTCACAAGGTTAATGTACTTCTTTGGTACTCCTTTCAGTGACAAACACTGCCATAGAACCTCACGATCAACAGAGTCGAATGCCGCCTTAAGGTCGAGAAATACTACCATTGTGGGGCGTCTGAATGTGTGTCTGTGTTCTAGAACTTGACGTAGTGTGAATATCTGGTCTATACAACCAGGTCCAGGTCGAAAACCGACCTGGTTTTCTCTAATCTGCTCTTCACGAGCTTTGATTAGGCGGCAAAGTAATATTGAAGCTAATATTTTAGACACTATATTAGTCAAACTGATTCCTCTGTGATTGTCACAAGAGGACTTTTGTCCTTTCTTATAGACTGGCACAATCAGTGATTGAGACCAGTCAGATGGGATTACGTTCAGTTCCCAAATTCTACCTAAGACCTCGGTTAATCTCATTGCTAATATATCGAATCCGGAAATAAAAGTCAGATATCAGAGATTCGAATACATTTTTTTAAAAAAATATCTTTCTTATATTTACGTCTAAATAGAGTAAGTCAATTGGTAGAAAACTGTCACGTCTTTTATCAGCTTCAAAAGTTTAAGTGTCTAGAAAGTCATTGGTTGAACATGATTTTATTCATAATAAAAAGAAGTTAACATTCAAATGTTCTTACTCACACTAAAAATAAAAGCCAAGTATTTTATCATGTGTATAAAATTGTGTCAAAGACAATTGTTAAATCGTTTGATTGTAATAACCCCAAAAGTATTTTAGATATCTGGTATGATTTAAATGTAAACTCTCTTATTAACCTTCACAGTAACATGGAAATATTGAGTTGATAACAGAGTATAATGTATAGGACAAAATATGGTAGACCACCTATTTATGCACATTTGAAAAATGCTTGTTAAACAGGAATAATACAACACGAATACAAGTATGGAGTCTTTAATACCTTCGAAGCATTAATTAATTTAGCTGAGACAACCCATTAAACCATGTTCATGTTTGCTGGGGATAGAAATCCGCAGACATTGAGTAACTTATCATAACTCGTTACTTAGAAAACGTACGTGAGTAGAGCATCTTGATCAAGACAGTCATATTGTTAGTACGTATGAAGGATTCATAAAGTAGTCAGCAAACCAAGACAAATACATTAGTTTGTGAACTCAGTGGTTTTAAAGTGTAGCCGTAATAACTAAGTGACAACGAGATGATAAGGATAAATTGGTAGAGGTTACATTTGGCACAAACAAAAGTCAATCGCAGTTACACAGATTTGTTCATTCTTTAATTTTATCAAAATGTAAAAGAAAATAATAACGTTTGTGTAATAAGCAATAACAAGCAAACATCACCGTCAATAACAAAACTAGTTTCAATCTTTTGAAAACATACTCGTAAGTAAACATTGTAAGGAATTCAAATTCGAAAACTTGATTTAAAAGTCTAGTACTAACCCAATTTCTTATGATAAGAGAGCATGAGATCAAATATGATGCATTAAAATAGTCGAAAACTTACTTTTCTCAGCACCATAAAACGCATCAGGAAAAATACTCCGATAGATGCCAAACCGCTTAGAAGAGGTGAGAGAAACCATGATCCAACTAAATTCAAATGGATAAAACAATGTAACAACAATCAAATCAACGTTATCTATTTTAAGAAGTAATGATGCTCACAAGTCATGTTAGGTTGATGATAAACAAAATGTGATATAATCATTATCGAGTATACAATTCATGGGTGATAGTAGAAAGTCAACAATTAATTTCGTAGGCTTAATTTATTTGCTTATTATTAATATTGGTGTGTTATTTCATTTAGTCTATATTTTGAAACAAAATCTTGTATAATATTATCTATGTTATAAGATGCTTTCATAAACGCTATACGAAAGGTATAATTTCTATTTGTAAAAGTCTCAGAGATTAAAATTCAATAGTTATAACAATTCACCTAACAGCATGATCTGGTTTACTACAAGGAAATAATCAAAATTATCTAAAATAGAAAAAGTTGAAAGTTATTTTACACTAAATTGTTCAGTCACATTTACAGTATTAACATGAATCATTCAGTGAAAAAAATATATCAGAACAGCCGTATATGATGTTGAATATATTATGTGGACGTCATTCTTATAGAGTGGTTATAAAAGGCATTATGCCATGGTCAGAATTACTTTCGACCTAATCTATCTTCGATAGTTTTGAATTTTTCCATGGAGAAGCTCAGATTGGACTGCCGAATCAAATTCTGAATGCACTTCATTTGAATTTCTGAAATTTTTACAGATATAATTTATAACCAATTTCTTCCGCGACCAATTTTTGTGAAAATACTCGCCCAAATCTGGACGAGACTTCAGTTAGAGTAATAAGCATGTAAAAATGACAGACGACATTGTAAACCCTTGGGTTAATGAAATGAATACTGGTCACGAATGCATATCTGGATGTTGACAACAACTGAACATTGATGACCAACTTTAACACAGACGGGCGGAATTAAGTCTACATGTTGAACAACTGAAAAGTTTGCAACAAACTTGACAATTTCTAATTACAATTTATAAAGATACAGTCTTTAAATATTAATAAGAAATCTGGTAAAAGCATAGTGCGGCAAAGAGCCACTCACAGTCAAGAGTGCAAATTTTAGGCTTTTGTGTGAAATTCAAAGATTACGTATAATCAACAGTACAAATACTTTCGTATGTCTTTCAAAACGTTTAAAATGATTGTAGATAATTATCTTTTGCAACTGTATAGTAAAAATGATATTACTAAACGCATCAAATGATCAATCCTTTTTCTGTAGATTATATATAACTGGCAAATCAACACCATCCCTATAATCCTAACTCTAAACTTTTAATCCTGTAACAAACTTTAACCTGGTAACAGTACATTATATAGACGAACTAATCACATAGTGCCTTTTGTATTCTCGAGTGAAATTCATTCATCCATATGGCGACAGAGTATTCTTTCACTTCAGCTGACGCCATTTCGTGATGAAAACCCTAACTCTAACTTCGGACAATGTAGGGACTCCTAAGAATTTTTTGGGGTCCTTTAAAGTATTCAAAAAGATGGACGGTCTATATTCATGAGGACGAGTTTATATGTAGTTGTTTCTTCGACTTACAAACAAAGTAACTTTCAAAAGACATTGATAGATTTATTTCATGAAATCTGTATACAATTCTTTTACATAACCTATCCATTTATAAAATCTACTTTCTGATCGTCTAGAAACTAGATGGAAATTCGTCGCAGTTGTCTTAAACTCATCCTTATACTGTACTGTTACCAGAAATACTAGCATTAATTCAAAGAAACGTTCACCATTTTCATAATTTACAATGGATATTACATTTTTATCCCCTTACTGCTCTAGAAAGTATTCATTTATGGTAATTGTTAAAAGTGTACATCAGAAAATTAAACGATTATTAAAACAATGCAATTGTAAGTTGAACTTGCACAGAAATATGTTGTGGCTAAAAATAAAATCAAATGATAAAAGAAATTTCGTGATCAGTAAGTAGATCGGTTTAACATAAGATGGTTAATGTTAGCATCCAATAATTACATTTTGAGTGTGTCTACATTGGTTACTGTCAACATGAGAATATTTCAACTTTTCCTAGTCTACCAATAAGAATTCTTAAAATCGTTTGAAACTGACTAGTAAACATATTAGTTCGGACAAAATTTTATTGGACACAAAACTCAGTTAATATTTTCGATTCGAGATTTCCTTAAAAACAGATTTCCAGTAGTTCTTTTTAAGAGAATTAAGTTTACGTTCATTATTATCAATAAAGTATGGCTCGCTCCTTGTTCATCACCAAACCGAATCATTCAAACACATGAATTAAAAATACCTTTCGTTTCAACAATAGTTAAGTATTGTAGTAATTTGTTATATTAGTTATACAATATAATAAATAATTTGTCGATAAGAGGAATATTTGATTTTGATACTTAATAATCTTGTTGTCCAAGAAATATAGGTTAAAGAGCTTGACTTAGTGATTACAGTTTGGTGAAAGCCTAACGTATATTAACTTATTGACTTGCTTATTCAAATAATCATATCTTGACAGGTTATATCACCGGAGTTTTAGTCACAGATAAACCAAAAACTTAATTTCATGCAGTCAAACAGTTAACTGGAGAATGAAGGAAATTTCACAGCTTATGTAATAATTTGTTTCATTACACGCCTACGTGACTTATTCAAACATTTGCACAGAATTTATTCTAATCTTTCCAGTCATTCTATGACACATACATTATTCTCGTTAATTAGTCCAGTGCAACCTTGAGCACGTTTTGTACATCTGTGTATAATAGTACGTATATGCATATCCCATTCCTGTATTTCTTACATGATTTATAAAAACTAAGTCACCTTACTATTCTCTGAGTCGGTGTACTACCGAACTCCAGTGCTTTGTACACTCTGTAGACATTTTATTTGTTTGTCTGTCATTCGACATCAGCATGTTTGAAGTATACGTACAAGTCGTGCTTGACTTTTATTATCTAAGTTGTATAAACATGATTTTTCGACAGAATGTATACGAAGTAAGTAGGATATACATTTCATTAGTATTAATACCGATTGATTATGTAGGCATCAACAACAAGGATATTAGATGTAATATTTACTAAATTACATTAAGATAATGTTCAGAAATAAAGTAATCAAATTGTTTATAAACCATATTTCATTGATAACGTTTTAAATAGTCTGAATATATGTCTTCTGTCTAGTTCATTAATTTATGGAGAATAATTCATTCTGAAGTCAGTTTTCATCAGCAAGTCATCGATAACAATGAATATTATTAGAGCTATCTATTGCTAATTGACTAAATTTAGAAGAATGTGAATTATTGTATTGATTCCTTGTTAAAACTAATTCTAAAATGAGAAAAAATTTTTAACAGACCAGCCATCTCAATTAACATAAGTCTATACAGCATGAATGTATCTAAAGTCAAGTGAAGAAACTGAACAAATTTATCCCACTTTAAAAAAAAGATAACTAGCCCTTTACAAGGTATCATTACCAAGGTTTGATTTGATAATTTCGAATGAATTGAGCATTGGGTAGATTGTTATAAATAAATAATATATTTGTAATATCCTAATGAGTAGAAAATTAGATTTTCTGACGTTTCGTGACTTAGTGTGAGTCACTTCTTCAGAGAATAAATAACCAAATTAAAATTAATCCAAGTTTAATTTGGTTATTTATTCTCTGAAGAAGTGACTTACACTAAGTCACGAAACGTCAGAAAATCTAATTTTCTACTCATTAGGATATTACAAATATATTACTTATTTACAGCCCTTTACAAGTTTTTTTTTAAAAACTATTTTGGGAAAACTTAACTAAGCTCTGTATGAAAATATTTGATTTATAGTTTATAAAAACGAATGAAAGGAATTACACAGAAAATAAGGTCCAAGTCACACGATTAAAGTCAATTCTATCCAATGACAACATTAGCTATCGTTACCATCCTATAATATGGCCATGATAGCATTCCATATTTATGTACAAACAAATAAAATGAACAGTTCTACATGTACAGTTGCATAAAATATAATATGTAAAAACAGGATGATTAACAGTCAAGTTATCAAATTATGTAGTATGAATATATTATACAAAAAAGTTAATACTTATTCAATCCTTATAAGTATAAAGTGTCAATAAGTAGGACAGTAAATTAATTATAATCATTATTGGAAGAAGACATCAAAAGGATGAATTGCAACTGGAAAAAACTGCAAAGGATTGCCCATGACAGTGTTGGCTGCAGAATGCTGGTGGACGACCTGTGCTCCTCCACGATGGGTAACAGGCATAAGCATGTAAATATTATTATTATTATTATTATTATTACTCAATAATTTGGCATATTTAATTGAACTGTCATGCTATAGACACGAATGTAGGCAAAATATAATAAAATCCTGAAAATGATGGAATTTATTACAGTATTTTTAATGTGAAGTAAATCTCGAAAAGGTGTATTTTTTCTTATTTAAACAGGGAAAGTCATGTAAATTTCAATAAAAAAGACCAATGTGAATCAAAAGTAAAGCCTAGAAATACAATGTAAGTTACAGTATTTAAATAGTATCATGTTTCTTCTCTAAATTACTTACAACACTATTATTATGATTATAAAACTGCTCAGTAGTTCAAGGAATAAAACTATTATTTGGTCTATGAGATTATTCATTATATTTAGTTTATCTTAGTCCACTATTATATAAATCACTACCGTCATAGAATATATAGATTTCCCATCCAACTTATGTGATCACTTAAATTACAGCAAGTACTATTCATAATTAGGTGGTGAAGACTCAGCATTATCAAACCATGAATAATAAATACATACTAACTAATTGTAGCATTTCATAGCGGAGCAAAAAGAGAAAAGAGTTGAAGTAAACACGAAGAATATAGGCAAACAGAAATGTTTGTTCAAGAAAAGAAATATTATTTCTAAAATACCAAAGCGAAGGACAAATAAACAATGGAACAAATAGCAAACTGATCAGAAACGATTAAATTTTCACTACTTGAAGAAAAATAAATAGGAAATATATCTTTGCACCGATGACATCATACTCAAACGACTGTATCTAGTGTTCTCCTGTAAATATAAATCAGATGTAAGTTTTGCTTTGGATCTTAGATACCTCATTCTACTGCGAAATAGATCTATGTTAACTTCGTTTTCAAAAAACTGAGACTACTATTATTTGATTTTGTTCTAAATATAGAAAAGCGAAACATTACTTCAAGCAACTCGGTGTATTATATTTTTGCGTTGTTTGTGGAACCATCATTGTGACAGAATTTGCATATGCATATAATTTTACATAAATAGTAGAAATCAGCTGAGTGAACACATACAATCATTGTTGAGTCAGATGATGAAATATACCGTCTAATCCTGATCACCTAACATGGGAAAACACATCAATAAAGTAAGTTTAATCCAGGAACAAACTGTTTGACTATATACATAGTGTGCAGTAGAAACTGTTCCAAAACGTATAACCATATATACAAAACATAATACGTATATAAAATCTAACACTTATCACCTTTGTTCTGTAGACAGAAAGTCCTGGGTTCGAATCCCGGTTCTGGGATCGTGGGCACACACTACTTAGGAGTCGCACGCTAGAATGAAAAGGCAGTCTAGTGCTTCCAATTTTCGGATGGCTGTCTGATTTAAATCGGTTTGTGATTTCATTGAAACTCAACAATCTCCACAACCTCAGACTGACAAAAATGTTTGACGTATTATGATTCCAACGTAGTTAAAAAGCGATAATAAGGAAAAACAGACTATGTTTAGATTTTGTAATGTAACTTTTATAGCTTATTAATTATCAGAATGTCTTATGATTTAAAATCTCTCCTAGGTTTTATCAAATCATCCGTTTTCTGTTAGGCTTTTCTAAATCATGTGGATTATCCTACGCTCCAGCATAAGAATACAACAAAGTGAAATTTACGAAATATTCTGTAGTTTACTATTGAAAATCAAGGTGCATAAAGTACATTATATAGATAGCCATGTCTAGTTGTCTAGGCCTAAGCAGTTATTTATTTATCAAAAGGGAACTAGATTTTACCAATAGCAATAGCTATCATAAGAAAAATAGTTTAATTCATGAAGATACTGTGAGGAGCAATAATGCTTAAGCATTTGACGCATAAAGGGACAAATTACTTACATTTCTAAACATTTATAAATGATAATAATAACTTTACTAACAAGTAGAATTCATGCTGTTCAAGTTTGAAATGGGACTCAAACTACAAAGTTATGAATTCGTATGAAATCATAATCATTCATATAGGGTTAAAATCTCTACTACACGAATAAATAACTACTGCAGTATCGAGTAAACAATATCACTACTAAATAATTTATTCTCATTAAATTATCAAAAGTGTATTCAGAAAAATAATTATCATGTTCATTATCTTTATATTAAAAAAAAACTCTTACCAATTTTGAGTAGTCCTTTCCATTGAATAGCATTGAGTCCAAAAACAACAAGACTAAAACCCATCGTTGCACCTACAATACTATGTGTGCCAGAGACTGGAAGACGGAAGAATGTAGCAACCAAAAGCCAAATACAAGAACCTATAGACAAATGAAACAAATATAACAGGAAATGGTAGAAAAAAGTTACTCGAAATAGTGAATATCTCCGTAAACTCTATCAGTATATGTATAATTCTATGAATACAGTTTACTGATGATAAAAGCTTATGATTATGAAATACATCCACTTAATGTCAATTATTTGATATTCGAGTTTAATTAACTGATATGCGCCCGTCAGAATAGAGATTAAGAAAACTGTAAGAAGTTATCTTTTAACCATTATACTAACTATGCTACATACCTGAAATAATCTCAAAATGTTAGAGTTAATCCCAAATTGAATAATACATAATAACAGTGTATACATTTAACTGCTTGTCATGAGTTCATTAGACCCAATATTACAGGCTTTAAGCAAACACAACATTTGCTAAACAAGTATACAAATATCTAATGGGTTCGTTTTTATTCAATAAAAATAAATAGCATTAAAAAATATGCCTATCACAAATGCAACCAATAATAAATTTTGATAAGTCACAAATTATTTTACAACAAAGATTATTTTAACAGGAAATTAGCAATCACCTTGAGAGAAGTAAATATTTGTTAAGAACATGGAGTATAAATGTGCCAACTTGACATTAAAACTATAATCACAAAAACTACGTTGGATTCTGCACACAGTTTCACTCAAACATAGGATAAAAACTAACAAATAACTTGACAATTATTTTATCAATATTGTAATAAGTACGTCATTGTTTTGGAATAATAAAATCTCCTTTTAAAACTAAGTATTTAAGATTTTTAAAGTTGCCATCAAATGTTTTATTGTGCAAAAGACATTAAACAGTTTGGTAACAACTGTAATTTAACAGTTGATATTAGTCAATCACAACGTAGAACCTATACGCATGTATATCGGTTCAAATTGCAATACCCCAATAGCACAGAGAGATGAAGTTGTTGTCAGGCCAGATCCTAGAATAGTAGAGGTAGTAACAGTATCAGTGGTAATAGGCAAGATTGGACATCGAAGATATGACTCGAAAAGAAAATATAAATTAGCAGAATAACGACAAAGAATGGATGCACCTGAGCCGTTCCAAACGATTTAGAACCATGTCATTCAACGTTTTCAACCATTGATTACGATAATCACGCAACCCCCGACCAGGTAGTACTTATTAACACTAGTTAAATCCAGTTGTCAGTGACTCCATGGATTGATGTCATGTTTTGGTTTGGCTGCCCCATAGTTTCCCTCCAGCCTACTCCTGCACCAGAAAACATCGACTGTCGAGGTAGGCGGTGGTTGGGCATACGCAACACATGTCCCAAACACCTCAGTTGATGTAGATTTATTAGATCATCAATCGATTTGCCTAGTACTCTATTCCTAACCCAGACATTGAATAATCCGTGATCTCAAAATACACTTCTAGTGGCATTATATCTGACTCTAGTTAGATCGTTTCTGATTGTTATCGAGATATATACATGTTGCCAATCCTCGACTTAACTCGCGTTAGTGAATGACGGAATTAAAGTAAGACAAATACAAGAATGGGTTTTGAATACGTATATTTTATACAATCGTTGATCGGAATAGACAGTCAGAAAGACGGAGCGAAGGAAGAGAAGAGGAGAGAGTGAAGCGAAACGAACCGGAGAAGACATGTCAAACAAATCAACTGAACCAAGAGTTACTCAATATTTCTAGTCAGACAAAAAACAGGTTACAGACATGTGATGAGTCGAATAACAAATGGACACACATACGCTTACATAAAAACGGTCAAGGTTGATAAGCGAATAATTAACAAAGTCAAAAATGTGGCTCAAGGAGAATGAATGAATTGGCCTGTCCAAAAGCTAGAATAAGCTATATGGGCTTGACATAGTGCCAGCACGTCAAAGCCCCCTGTAGAAAATAGCAAATTAACCTTAAAATGTCTGTTTTCGAAATTAACAGAAGATGTGTGCGGTTAACGAAAACAATAACTAGCGAACAAAAATTTTACTGTATCTGATAGAGTAGTGTCGCGTAAGGAGTGAATGTATTGTCACACTTATGTAAAAAAAGCACATGAATATTGTAAAGATGGGGACAAAAAATGGAATGTTAGCATGCGATTATGAGCAAATTATCAAGCGTACAAAAAATTAACATATATTTATTTCGTGACTGTTTGAATGATTAAATGACACGTACGTATGAGCGATTCAAAATATCGTGAAAACAGAGTGATAAATCGTTCATGGGTATGACAGAGGAATATACCGTGAGAATAAGTAGGTTGCAAGTTGTCTGATGTATGAGCAGGTAGTAAATATATCGGAAATATATGACATGTGATAGCCATATATCCGCAAAAATGAAAGATAATAACTAAGTCATTGATGCGATAATTGACCCAGAACAAAATAAAAATGAGATATCCTAGCAAAAGGCTTATCAGAATTAAAGGCATCCACAGACATAATAAATGATATCGAAATGAAAAATGTTTGGTATAGCATTAAAATGATCTCGCCTAAGTAAATGTGTGTAAAAATAGGGCGGAAATGGCACGAAAAAAAATTGAGCGGACTCACTCAAGACGGAAAAGTTTTACGTTATTGAATAATAGGAAACAGTCCAGTGAGTTTCAAATGTTATAACGTGAATGGAATGTTCATAAAATTATAATTTCTTCGGTGAGTGATATGATTGTGTATATGTCATAATCCAATGTCAGCACGAACAAAAATAATAATTCCACGTTAGGTGATGATATGACATTAATTTTGGTGGAGTTTTGTTCTCTGAGCTGGATGGTTTGGTCGTGTCGATGGCTGTTGTCAAGATTTCCAAGTGTTCTGACGTAAGTGTCCTTTGTAGCTTCATCTTTTGGTCCTCTATGACGTGTTGGTATTTGCGGATTCTGTAGTGTGCATCCGTTATCATTAGGTGTACCATTTTTCTTCCACTTTGCTCAGCTATTTTCCATCCTAATGGGCAGTTGATTGGAGGTCTATATCTTACACTTGTTGGTAGAACATGCTGGCGAAGACACTCATGGAGAAAATATAGTTGTTCTCGAGTGGAAGCCTGCCTTTTGGCGAAATTCTCCCATTTTCGAACAACGAGAAGCGTATTACGCTCATATGATTTTGAGATGGTGGAGAAGATTTGTAGCTCAGGTGGATGATTTTGTTGGAGTTTTGTTCTCTGAGCTGAGATTAAGTCGTTTGAGTTTTTCATCTACTAAGTCACGACCAAACCATCCAGCTCAGAGAACAAAACTCCAACAAAATCATCCACCTGAGCTACAAATCTTCTCCACCATCTCAAAATCATATGAGCGTAATACGCTTCTCGTTGTTCGAAAATGGGAGAATTTCGCCAAAAGGCAGGCTTCCACTCGAGAACAACTATATTTTCTCCATGAGTGTCTTCGCCAGCATGTTCTACCAACAAGTGTAAGATATAGACCTCCAATCAACTGCCCATTAGGATGGAAAATAGCTGAGCAAAGTGGAAGAAAAATGGTACACCTAATGATAACGGATGCACACTACAGAATCCGCAAATACCAACACGTCATAGAGGACCAAAAGATGAAGCTACAAAGGACACTTACGTCAGAACACTTGGAAATCTTGACAACAGCCATCGACACGACCAAACCATCCAGCTCAGAGAACAAAACTCCACCAAAATCATCCACCTGAGCTACAAATCTCCACCATCTCATATGACATTAATGTAATGATGAGGATATGATAATTATAGTCATAATGGGACGATCCATCAAAACGATAAGTGAGCAGAGTTGACACGAAGACAAAGTACATATAGGATAATGCGATCTGAGCATGTCCATGTCGCTGCTGTACCGGTGATGATGAATGCATCGGATTAGAGATTAAGTCGTTTGAGTTCCTCATCTACTAAGTCAGCCACTTTGTCCGTTTATCACACCCATAGAGTTCGAGATGTACACCGTCTGTCCAGATTTGCAGGATGCGTTTGGTCCGAAATCGAACTTACAACTTTATTAGTGTGATGATGATATCATCTATGAGGTTATCGAGTTCTTCCTGTCCCGTTTAGCTGGACAGCACACAAGCGACTGTTTATTCGAGTCCCGTCTAGGAAAGCCTGTTTTAAGTTGGAATTTAATGCTAAACCTACACCAGTGAGGTCACGGGAACTAGCAGTGGGGTCTCCAGTCACTTTTAGGGCAAATCGTCCCGATTCTTTATACTGACAAGGTGAGGTCAAATGAATGACTGTACTTGGACCCTGTATGAGCGTTTTGGAGACGCATTACACGTCGATGGCGCAAGATTCTAGGGTTTTAGCTAAAGGAGCATGTTGTGTCATCCGACACAAGGTTCGAATATTAAAAGCTCCAACATATAGTTTAGAGCATAGTTTCAAGAGGCCAGAAATAACATTTCGTGAACTCAAATCATTAATGTTAGTGGCACGTGGTGATAAAGATAAGTTAGAAGGGTTATTCATGGGGATGAAAGAATTATTAGGATAAAGGAGTGGTTCCATCGTCAATAAGATGACCTCGGGTGCTGATAGTAGTGTTAGAATGGTTGTCACTTCCCGGTTGCCCACACCGCGGAAAGATATTTCTTCTTGAGGGACCTGAAAAGGATGTTGAATTAGTGGCGGTCTTGGTGAACTAGGAGTGTGACCACAGAGCCCAACGGACAACTGCTTAAGGCCAGTTGCGCACGGGCTTTATATGGGACGTTTTGATGAGTTTGCTTCGCACTTCAAAACGCCTTACCGCCGAATGCAGATGCTGGTTGTCCGAAAAAAACACCTTACTGCACCCACACTCCACTACAGTCAGCAGTACGATCTGGCCTGTCGGCCTTAAGTTGCTGCTTTTAGTATTACCGTCTTCCAACCGACCTCCCTGGTGTGGCAGCACCTAAAGAAACAAGTGCTTACCCCGACGTAGTTCAGTAGAATCATCACGATAGGCAAGTCCGACCACCACATCGATAGCAGCTATGGTCGAGCGAACGTTGATATATATAAAGTAAAATAGCTCATTATCACTAGGAGAATTATTATCTTATCAGTTTTATTTAATTCATGTATAACTGTTAGCACCAGAGATTAAATGTAGTTGATTACTTTTGAAATCCAGAAAAAAATTATATAGTGAAAAAATACTATTTTCATAGACCTACCACCCAGAGCAGCAACCTGTCCGGCCATCAAGAGTACATGCCCGTTGTCGATGGTTTGAAAAAGTTCGACACTAACAATACCTTTCCGTATGGTATTGGAAACTTTAGCACCTGAAGAAGCACGCACGTATATATAACCAAACTAAATTTACCTAAAAGAACAGAACCGCTTAATTCACAGATTGTAGCAAGAATACAAGCTTGTTTCAGTGTTAATACTTTGGCCCCAACACTAGTCCCGAATGAATTTGCCACATCATTTGCACCAATTCCAAAAGCAAGAATAAAAGCTATTATGAAACCAACAACGACCATCCATATTTGGTCTTCAGGGATCAACATGGTTCATAAGAACCAAAGACTGCAAGATAAGATCTTAATATCACACGCCCAAGTAAACTGGTGGGTTGAAAAATAGAAAACAAATATTGTAGATGTTTGCTGATAAACAAAGAACAACACCAAAGATATATGTATATCTGGTTATACGAACCAAAGTTATAACTTAGATGGATGTGGACCTTCCCTAAGTTTCTAGAGATAAGCTCAAAATAATAAAAACAAGATGATCTATTAAATCACGTGAACACTTCTTTAATTTCAAGATTCGAGCTAGCGTATAACGTTATGAGATTTCATGCATTCATGTCAGACATTTTTTCACCTAAATGTCCAGTTTTGTAATTTTCCCATACTGTTTCCATAAAGTATCGAAGCAAAAGAGAGGAAAAATGTATTCCATAAACTTCATTTTTTGTTGAGCTGGCTTTATAAAATGTAGTCACAAATCTATTGAAAAAGTACACATTATTGAGTAGACGATCGACAGCGCCACAGTATTACTATATAGATCTACCCCCGGAATTGATGACACCGGTAGTAATCATGAGCATGTTTGATAAAGTATCTCCACTTCAACCCAAGATTTCATCTCTTGAGTAATCGAGAGCTCTATAGACAGTATCTACAACAATCACCCACTAAGTTCTAAGTTCAACCCTTAAGATGTTAGTGGGTTAGCCATATGAGTAAACATACAGGCAAACAACACACTCTAGGATTCAGGTACATCCTGTTTAGTTTTATGATTACCACATCAATTTAGAAGAGGTTACGCGGGTGACATGTTAGTTATCCTGAAGAGAGATCACTTGCAAATATTCGTAGGTTGGTCGACGTTAACAACTACAGCAAATTTACAATTAAAGAAACAGAAGACAGGGTCTTGTTCTTTGATATTTTAGGCAACAGAGTAAACAGAGGGACGTAAAAAAACAAGTATGGAAAAAACTAAGGTACACAAAGCAAGTATTAAAAGCTACAACAGCATACAAAACGAATTATGTCCAGACACTAATCACAGAAGTAAAAAAACAAATCTGGCAACCAAGAAACAGATCGCCCTACGATGTGCGAAACTCATCTCAGAAATCATCACAAGGGCTCTAAAGCTCTTTGGAATAACCGTCGCCCACAAACCAATGCAACCGCTCTATTTCATTCTATACAGACCAAAAGACAACAACAAAAGAAGAGAAATGAGACATCATTTACAAAATAAATTGCACCAACTACGGGACCTATCACACTGAACAAATTGAACGTCCTCCTCATCTATCCATAAATGAACACGGATCAGCAATAGAGAGACGTGATATGGTGTCACTGATATCGACATATGTAGACAACCATGGACGTGAGTTTAACTAGAGAGAATTCGAAACTATCTGTAAGAGAAATCCCAAGACGGCCAGGGAACCTCCGTGGGGAAAACACTTAAGTCCGCTGGGAATAAACAGGTGCATTGATGTCCACCCAATCTACGAACCTACATGAAATAGGCCAATTAATCATAGTGTTAGATTTCAACCAGCAAAGACAGTCGATACGAATACAACGACAAATGAAGGTAACAAAGTGTACGAAGGTACCAAGTAATAAACATGGCCATGGGAACAGATAGATGCAGTGTTTGTGGAACAACCAGAAAACTCACTTCTACGTGGAGTGGGGGTTTAAGATTTTGTCCAGAATAACAACTAAAAATCGACAGTCAAATCACCTAACTTATAAAACAAAACCACCAGAAATTAGTCCATATGGCAAACTTTACTGCTACAGAAGCATAACATAGCTCATTACATCAGAATATTTACAAACAAAATTGGTAGTAAACAGATAAAAGTTATTCAATGCACTGAAATTTTACTTCATTTGAGGGTTTAATTCACAAGCGCCACCAAGTTTCCGTCAAAGTCTTAAAACGAAGAAAAAAGATCTCACAGAAGCTGGTGTTACTTTAAACAACAGAGAAATTGTTGAAGTGTCTTGAATTCTAGTAAATCATTAATTAGATCTGAAAATCCAGTGTTAAACAGATTTCTAGTTGGCTTTTATTCGTTCTCTTAGACTGCTGTTCCTATGTTTACTTTTATAAAACTTTCGGTGATGTCATTTTTACCACGTGGTTTTTATCTTTGTTTATTGAACTTACTGGACTGATATGAAGTTTGATAACAAGAATCAACACACAACCGTATCGAGTTCTACGCTGAGATCATTGACAAACTAGTTTCTCCTGCATTATATCACCTATATTGAGAAATGGGTGGAAATTCTAAATAATTTCAGCTTTCTTAATTTACTAATTCATTGGATATACTCCCGATGTTTGTGATATATAGCTGATGTAAATACGCCTATTTAGTTCTTGGTAATTAACGACCTCAAGAACAATTAACGAAGCCAAACAAGATAGTTATTCAGTTAATTAAAGATAGTACAATGATAAAACTAACAGGTAGCGGCATAAGTGTATCAGCCATATCGGCATGTAATTACAGTAATTTTCATTTGACGTTTACAGTAACTGAGTACGGAACAAGACCAATCAAATTGGTGAGATGTAGACAAAACAATAAATACGAATCCCTGTGTTACTGAATCATTCTATGAATCCAACATTTACATGAGCTGGATTACATTAGTGTATCATCATCAAGACTTTTTTGGAACCCATTGTCGACACATTTCCCATCACATAGACCAACTCAGAATTTTTCGGTACAAATGTATGAGGAAACAAAAGACATACTGGTATATGAATGCATGTTATATGTGATACGGTAATTAATGGTTGTCCGTCGAGCAACGTTAAAGTGACCTTGAAAATGTCAACGTACTAACTAGGACTAGATAAGGGTTATAAAGCTGTGTGAGGAATTAGAATTATGATTTACAGTTGATGGTTAAAGTTTGGAATTAGACTTCGGGTTTTCATCACGAACTGACATCAGCTATAATGCCAAAATATTATTTAGACGATAGAGTGGATGAAATTCGCGCTAAAACCCGAGACCTGTTATCTCAGATCTGATTGGTTCGTCCACAAATTGTAGTTTCGCCTAACAATTTATGGACAGGAGATTTTCACGTAAAGTGCTCACCTGAAAACCGTATACTTCAAGCACCTAGAGAAGATACCAAGCGACCGATTTTTTCCACTCGTAATTGTAGAAATGTACTGATTGCTAACTTTTCGGCTTTTTCTGAGGCTTTTTGAGTCTTCTGACTCATAGTGAAGTGTACATTTAAAAGCTTCGCAACGACTAAAATAAAAACTACTTTCGTCTTTTATTTTGACACTTTAAGTTTATCGGTACAAAATGTAAAACGGACATCATCGATTCCCATACTACTGTTGTTATTCAAATAAACTGTCTTAATACTCTTGTAGCGGTAAATAAATCCCCAAAATAAATAGCACTAAGTTTTCGACATTGGATGCTGACCATATGTTTTAGTGGACTCACCTAGCTGAAGGCGCTCGGTCAGGCATCCGCACCAGATCACGTGTGGTAACGCCGTGCTCAACATCAACCGCAATCGCTAGCCAGATTAGATCAGAGAATTCCGATATATTGGTCATCGCCAAATATACTCTTCCGATCTCCTCGACTCTGTCTTTTGATTTCTCTGGGCGGGAACGAAATATATTAGAAGGTGTTACTGGTAGAAGCGTTGTCAAACACTGAATACCTGTGACATCAACATTGGTGAAACCGACGTGATCTGGTACACCTAATTGCAACTGTGAGTCTGTTCCTTTTGGGGATTTTTATATATCATTGCCTTATTTTTTAACTTTTTTAAACATTGTGATTTTTTTTCGTGTTTTTTCCTGGATATATATATTTCCCCTTGTTCATTATCGTACTTCATACTTCATCATGACTGAACAGACACCTAAAGTACTCAAGCTTAAGACTTTGTCCCCGCCTTCGTTTCAACTGATGCCTTTCTGGCCCGACAACATCGAAGCCTGGTTTTGCTACGCAGAAGCCGACTTCTCCGAGCACGGCGTGATCGACACACGTGCGCAATTCCTCGCAGTAGTCAAGGCACTACCGCGCGAATTCAACAGGTACGTAACACCTAGTATGTTTACTAGTGATGTTTCCGATCCTTACGAAATCTTAAAACGCTCGATTCTTAAACGAGGAGACCTAACCGATCGACAAAGGTTAGATCAACTCTTCAACAATATCGACCTGCAACACGGTTCTGCGACGGACATGTTGCAACGGATGAGAGAGGTAATAGGCCCAAGAACTTTCGACGAAGGTCTATTCAAACAACTCTTCTTGTCAAAACTTCCCCAACAGGTGCAAACAGTTCTGGTCTCGTTCCAGAACAACGCCTTAAACGAGCTAGCTGTATCTGCCGACCGCATTTTAGAAATTACGAAACCTTCTACTACCGAGGTATTTTCAGTCAAAGAAAAACCTCAAACGACTCAGAATGATATAACCGACTTATGTCACACACTCACGCGTTATCTTAGTCTTCGTACCGACCGTAAGAGATCGCGCACACCACGTAGAAGCATTTCTCGTAAGCGATCTGTCTCTAGACCACGAGAGACAGATAACCCCGACTGGTGCTGGTATCATAACCAGTATGGAAAGTTTTCCAGAAATTGCAGAAAACCCTGCAATTTTCCCAACACGAAACCGACTGATTCGAAAACAATTCGGGAAACTTCCAAGCCGGCACGCGTTAACGGCAACCGTAGCCGGCGAACAAAGCCGTCTGTTATTCGTCACAGATGTGACAACGAGAGTTCGCTACCTCGTCGACACTGGCGCAGAAGTTAGCGTTCTCCCAGCAAATCCTAACGACCGGCTTCAGGAATCGGCTTTTAACTTACAGGCGGCAAACGGAAAACCGATCGCTACGTATGGCAAAAGGTACGTTTACCTTAACGTGGGTTTACGCAAACCCATCCACTGGATTTTCGTTATTGCAGATGTTTCTATGCCAATCATTGGTATGGACCTTCTACAACACCACAATCTGATCATCGACACGCGCAAACGGAGGCTAGTAGACGGAAACACTAATTTGTCCGTTTGCGTATCTTCTTTTACTGGTTGTAGAGTATCCCCAGTCACAGTTAAACATATGATAGACCCACTCTATCAACCGCTACTCGATAAGTACCCTGGGATACAACAAACTCAACCGAAACTACCGTGTGTAACCAGCAATGTTACACATCACATCACGACTACAGGACCACCTGTATTCTCTAAAGCACGACGACTAGCTCCTGAAAAGCTAAGGTTAGCGAAAAACGAATTCGATCACATGATGGACTTAGGAATCATACGACCGTCAAGTAGCCCATATGCATCTCCGTTGCACATGGTCCCTAAAAAGGACAGCAACGATTGGCGTCCAACTGGTGACTATCGGCGATTGAACGCGAAAACCATTCCCGATCGTTACCCGTTGCCTCACATTCACGATTTGACAGCTACCTTGAAAGGTACAACTGTCTTTTCGAAAATCGACTTGGTTAAAGCGTATAACCAAATCCCTATGGCTACTGACGACATACCGAAAACAGCTATCATAACTCCTTTCGGACTCTATGAATTTTTGCGAATGCCTTTCGGTCTAAGGAATGCTGCTCAAACATTCCAAAGATTCATAGACGACGTTTTTCGAGGTCTCAACTTCGTACACGCGTATGTTGACGACTGTCTAATCGCAAGTCCGGACAGAGAAACACATCTCAAGCATCTGGATCTTGTTTTCGAACGACTTCAAAAACATGGCATAACTGTAAACGTTCAGAAATGCCAATTCGGAACCGACTCGTTAGACTTCCTAGGACACACTATCGATGCTCAAGGCATTCGACCTCTTAGGACCAAAGTGGCGGCCATTCTGGATTACCCAGAACCGACCACCGTCAAGCAATTACGCACGTTTAACGGCCTGGTAAGTTTCTATAGACGTTTCATACCGAAATGCGCATTACA